AGAACTGTCGCTCGATTTGGAGCACATGTGTGGACACAGATCATGCACTTGTATGTACTGACATGCGGATGCGTTTTGGCGGACGCCCACAACGACGCCGTGAGCGCATTGACACCAGCCAACTGACAAAGCCAGCTGCTCTGAATGCATATCGAAGTACGCTGACATGCGAGTTGAGTAATCGCTCACTGGAGACAACTGATGGTCACTGGTCACATGTCCGCCAGACCTTACTAGCAGCAGGCAAATCCTCATTTGGCATGTCTAGTAGCCAACATGGATATTGGGCCTCTTCGCGGTCTCCGGAACTTATCGACGCGCGCCGGCATATCCCGGCTGGAAGCGAACTCGCAAATAGCTCCGGGCAAGACTCCGTGCTAGCCCGAAGAGAGACCGCGAATCTTGGTGGTCTCATCGTGCGTCAGAGATGGAAGTGGCCGCTGCCCTTGGCAACCATCGCAAGTTATTCCGTCTGATAAGGGAAACGGGCAACAGGAGACCTGGTGTTAGTGAAACTATACGTGATGAGAGTGAACAGCCTATCCACAATTTGTCAAAACGTTTGGAGCGTTGGGCTGAGCATTTTGAAAAGCAATTTAATCGACTAGAATTGTTCGATTCTTCGCCGGCCAGTGATCGCCCTGCTCCGCGGGCTGTCCCTTTGGATCCACCCTCTCGCTCAGAAGTCGAACTTGAGATCGGACGGTTGAAGTTGGACAAAGCCGCGGGACCTGATGATCTTCCACCAGCGCTCTTCAAATTCGGAGACTATGCTCTTGTTGATGCTTTGCATGAATTACTAGTTAAACTGTGGGAGCAGGAGACTGTCCCAGCCGACTGGAGCCTCTCCGTTATTGTTCCCATCTTCAAAGGAGGCTGGCGTTCGGAATGCGGCAAACGTAGAGGAATCAGTCTGATTTCCATCGCCTCCAAATTACTGGCCTCCATAATCCTCCACATACTGACTGGCGCTCGTGAAAACCAGATTCGTGAGGAGCAAGCCGGGTTTCGTCGGGGTCGTGGCTGCATCGACCACATTTTCACCTTGCGTCAGTTGTTGGATCACTGTCACACATATTGGCGGGCCACCGTAGTCGTGTTCCTCGACATCAAAGGTGCCTTCGATTCGGTTGATCGATGTGCCCTTTGGAATTGTCAACTCAAGAATGGTGTGCCCCAGAAATACGTAAATATTATCCGAGCATTATCCGCGCGTAGCACGGGCAGAGTGAGGGCTTACGGCAAGCTGTCGCCAACCTTCAATATCTCCAGCGGTAGGAGACAAGGATGCCCGCTGTCACCTTTCCTCTTCAGCTTCGCTGTTGACGAAGCCATGGAGTTTGCATTTACAGGACATGACTTGGAAGGTGTGGAACTACTCCCAGGAGAACGACTTCTTGACTTGGAGTATGCAGACGACATTACTCTCGTCTGTGACAACTCCCAGACGTGCCAAGTCGCGCTAAACAGATTAGCGCTGGCTGTCCGCCGCTTCGGGCTTTGCTTTGCGCAATCGAAGTGCAAAGCGTTCTCCCAGGATTGGCAGGGATCGCCTCTTGCGCTGACCCTTGGTGGGGATCAGCTAGAAGTCGTTCGGAAATGCAACTACCTGTGAAGTTGTATCAGCGCCCTTGGGATCGAAGACGAGATCACGAACCGTATAGCGAATGCTCGAAGTGCTTTTGCTAACCTTCGCCACCTATGGCGGCGGCGCGACATTACTCTCGCCCTGAAGGGTATTGTGTACAATGCAGCGGTAGGTTCGACCTTACTGTACGGTTGCGAAATCTGGCCCCTAAGGTGGGCGGACATGAAGAGGCTAGTTACGTTCGACCATCGGTGCCTTCGCAGTTTGGCTCACATCTGGTGGGAACACCGCGTGAGTAACGAGCACGTTCGACGCATTGTTTACGGCCCAGGAAAAGGAACTGAACCGCTCAGCACCGTTATTTCTCGCACCAGGCTCCGATGGCTGGGCCACGTGTTGCGCATGCCAGCCCATCGACTTCCACAACGTGCGTTGTTTGCTCACCGGGGAGGTGGATGGAAGGAGAGGAGGGGTGGCCAAGCGATGACTTGGTCGAGAGGAATGAAGGCCCTCACTTCTGTGCTGGCCTCGGTTGGAGCGTCACGGCTCCCTGGTTGGGGTCCAAAAGGCGGTGAACATGTTTGGCTGGATACACTTGCTGACATGGCAAGGAGCCGACTTCAGTGGCGTTCCTGCTGTGAGTTTCTTTGTCCCTCCCCATCTCTTTTAGCCTCTCCTCCACCTAAGATCTCATTTCCTAGGTTAAAACATAACATTTTTTTCTTTTTGCCTGGTAGCTGGCTGGAAGCTTACCGGAACGATGCCTATCCGTTGCTGGTAGCTCAGCTGGCATGCAACTTTTGTATTTATTTTCCTTTTCCTTTATATATTGCGGCACAGTAGCTGAGGTGTTCTCCCATTATCTGACGTGTATAATGATGATGATGATGAATCTCCATGGCTTTGACTGCTGTCCTGTCCTACACCGTACTGCTTTGCGTCTATGTATTCTTTCACTGCGGCACATCCGCTTGAAGCCTCTGATCAGGCGTACAGTGCTCAACGGGAATGTGCCTGTGTCGACTATTAGTACCCAAGCAGAAGGCATTTATCGCATCTATCAACGTGTGTACTGCAGACATTTTGTTGAATATTAATGCACTTTTTAATTCTGGAAAACAAAGGCTTACTTCCCTCTTTTACACCGAACACTTCAAATTATATTTTCTCCCATCGTTGATAACGCCAGTGTGCGTACAACTTATGGCGCGCCCTGGTAAAAGCTGGGTTTCTAACAACGTCACATTGGCCTCACGAGTTTGGACAGCTGCGTATTACCGCTTTCGACCCAGCTCGGAACATGAGGTTACCCGCTTCTTCCACTCCATTCTTCCTCTCATCCGAAACTTTCCACTTCGGATGCGGTCCCTGTGATCGAAATTGAAGAAGTTTACTTTACAATAAACTGTGGCCTCAATCGAGCTTACGTGTCGCAATCCAGACATACGACTGGTACTTCAACACTCAACAATGAACCTCTAACCGCTGTATCAAGCGCTGCCTACGGAGCCCTGTCTTAGTGACCAAGACGAAAGCCATCAACCACTATGTCGGCTTCCCTTTCTGCTCAGGATATTTCTGCCTGACGAGTCCAAATCAGAACGAAATCGGCCGGTCGTGGAGTGCAGTGATGGGAAAGAGCATTTAAGACGCGGTCCCCGTGATCGAAATAGCAGAGTTTTGTCAATGAGCAAATTGTGGCCCAAGGTTGGATTGCGTGTTGCAATCCAAGATTCATAACAATGTTTATTTCATCGTCTTACACATGTCAAAATGTGTTTAGAGCGCCGACCAATGCAGTTTATGGGATCCAGTGAGTACAGGGGTTTTGTGAAATCCGCGACTACGGTGTTTTAATTTGTCTCCATGATATGTCGTTTGGTACCGCACTGCTTTTACAGACACGGCACGGTTACCATGGCTCCTGGAGCTGCCAACGCGGTGGCCATAAAGAACAACTGATCGGGGCATCTAACTAATTAACTCCACAGGGTGGTTACCTTTCTCGTAAAGCAGTTGAACGGTCGACTATCTCCTATGGTGTAGAGCGTTTCTTTGTTTTTGATTTCTTTTGCTTATTCTCTGTGCCGAAGCGTGACGAACAGTCTAATTGTGTTTTGACGCTTTAGTTGTTATATCCCACTTGTAGTGCTCGGTTTCAACTTGATCTTCATCCTATTAAATGTACCTCGGGGACACAAGTACACTAGATCTAACATCATCACACAACGGTTGATAATTATTTTGTTTGGCCTGTGGCACCACGGGCTCTGGTGCCTACGGTGCACTATTTGCGTGTGGGATGTACCGAGCGTGATAGGCGCTAGTTTATGTCGCATATACTAGCAAACGTTATCCAGTCTTTCGATCGTCGTAGAACTAGCAGCCAACCATGATATGATCCTTTCCCTTTCTAGGTGCAAAACGATGTTACCTGGTTACCAGCAATTTGCTATTCCTCTGAATGTTGATAACAAGGACTGAAGATTGCTGGTCATTCCACCTATCCTGACGACTACGTTTACAGTGATCGGTGCTCGATTGAGTTGCTTGTCAACATATGGCATAAGCCACAGTTGTGCTTATGAACAACAGTTCCTTCGATTTGAAGGTCTACGTATGCAAGACTATGGTGATGTTCGTACTCCTTGAAGGTGAGGCTTGGTCCCTTCGATCTGAGGTTCTGAGAGGCTTTCAGGTGTTTGACCGTTGTCTGTGAAGCATTGCTGTTGTCGGATGGCACCAGCGTGTATACAACGATTATATACGCAAGTGAGCACTAGGCGGGGATAATTTTGTCCATTAGTGAAATAAACGACGTCGAATCAGTTGTGTTGACTTTGGCACTTGCTATTTGTGCCCGTTCATTGACTGGGGTCTTGTTTGCCCGATATGGGATGACGCGAGGCCCCTAGTGGAAAGTTAGCTTGGTAACGGAAAGCGAAATCACTGATGACCATAGTGGTTAACCGTGCTTCTATTTGAGCTACTCGCCCTGTCCTTGACTGATGACATCTGGGATTTTAGCTCGCAACCGACGCCATGGCGTGTTCGTTGTCACCCCCAGTTGAACTGCCTGTGTGCCGGATATAAAGTTTTCTGTAAGCTGATGTTAATGGGAACTCAAGACAGTGGGAGTCGTGTGAAAACACTGCCACTGTTACCCCCATATTTTCGGAAGTGCTGCGGTTTGTGCTCATATGTTATTTGTATAACAGTCCTCCGTCAGTATCTTCGTTCTCCTTGTCAGTAGTTTTGTTCCGATTAATTCTATCGCAGCGATGCACCAACGCTGCTGCGTTCTATGCGACTCTATTCTTACTTTGTTCATGTTCCCCATCTTATTTTATACTCATCTTTACATACGGTTTACGTTTTCTCTCCCATCATTTCGATTTTCTTTTTCATTCAGGAATCCAATCTGTGCTGGTCTCACTCATCGCAATGAAAGGGGAAGTGGTCTATAATCCGTCGTTTGTCGGCACCGCTCAAATTGTTCGCTGGATCGAAGAGCTGGGATTTGGTGCCAAGTTGTTAGATCACTCGGGTGATGCTACTGGTGTTGGAGATCGAGCAGTGCTCCATCTTATGGTACGTCCCGCTAACATTGATCGCTGCTCACAAATACCTTTCCGACACCAGTTATTTTTATTCTTTTTTCATGCCTTTTAACACTGCTCATAATTTACTTTATGCAAACTTCGGTCTGATTGCTTTGTCAGCAAAGCGATCCTCTCGTTCCAGCAGCTTGCTCCTGCAATGAGTTAACGTAAAACTTCAGATATAGAGTGACAGCGGTAAGACATGACAGTTAGCTCACGCTGTCACCGTGCCTTGGTGAGCCAGATTTGTCTATCACTGCGACCAAGAACAGCCGCAATTCAGCTATACTTACAGTGGGACTATAAATGGGACGTGTTCTTGCACCCACAACTCCTCTGACACGCTTAATTTCATGACCGAAGTACACCGAGAGCTGTGCGGTTTTGAACCACTACGATTCTGGGCTTACCGACACAACTGTTCATATGCTTATGAATCCACTTAATCCACGGGCTGTGACCATCCCAGAGACTATAACCGTACTGTACTTCAAAGAAACAGACAAATCTGCGCACATCTTACCTTAATAATGCGGTGACACAATTTCTCTCTCTCTCTCTCTCTCTCTCTCTCTCTCTCTATATATATATATATATATATATATATATATATATATATATATATATATATATATATATATATATATATATCCACACGTGTGAGTACAGGCAATGTGCTATCTGATTCATGTTGAAATGTAAAACAATAAGAAACGGTAGTTTTCTTCTGCCCTACACACGCCTTTTTGCTTTGTTTTTCGATTGATCAGATATTAGATGACACGGTAAAGCAACTGGTAGTGCCATTTATGTCTGTTGCGGTTCAATATCCCATGTTTTCCACCACTAGAGTCAGTGTCTCTTGGTCCCCAGCCTGGATGGCGGACTGGACCGACTGATTTTTGTGGTTACCTTCTTTAGGCTTCCACACATCATTCATTGTTCACCACGGCACTCTTCCGACTCGCTTCCGGGAAGCGCAAATAATTTTCCACCGAGCAGACGTTAAGCTGCCATACGCAATACGTGACCGAGCCAGCGCATGCCGTGTCGTAGTTTTACATCTTTGAGACAAACTGTTCGCTCCAAGCACTCGTTCACGAACTTCCGCATAGCTTGCGTGATGTTTTCACCATACCGGGCAATCGTTCGCTGACATTGACTGACAATCGTTTCATGTCTTCCGAGCGAACGGGCTAACCGTACAACAGGACCGTACGGCCGTCCACATGCTGTTCATAAGCTCGAGACTGGCATTGCGACGACGCCATAGGTATCTCAGTCTGGCGAGAACAAGGTGGGTCTTTGTTATCCGTTGTGATACCTGTCCAACACCGCCACCAGCCGTGGTGCAACTCCCTATATATGCGAAGCTTATTCCTTATTCTAGAATGTCACTAGTAGTAGATAGATAAATAAATGTTTTATTCTCGACAGTGCGAGACACCCATGCAAAGGCATGATCATGTACTAGTGAGAATGGGCACAGGAAGGTGCTAATCCTTGAGTAGTGTTTTCCAACTTGGATGCGTCCATCGTTGAGCGGTTCAGCGTTTCGGACTACTTTCGACGTAATCTAAGTTCGCAACTCTTTCTCCAGGGAGAAGCTTGACATTGCAGTTCTAGGCACCTGCTGATCATTGGACAAAATTCTTTGTGGCCGGTGACAACAAAATTGACATTCCATTATTCGTTTTTCTTTTAGTTTTCGTAGTCTAGCTTTTATTACCATTTTTTGTATTGCAGTTCATTTGCTGAGGTGTGTTACTAACCCTCGGCTAATGTGTATTGATGATATTGATGATGTCCATAAAGCACCTTCAATATGATTACAAACTTGTCGGCAGTTCACAAAACAACCCTCTCGGCCGGTGGCCGAGTGATCTGCACGCCTGGCCTGCAATCATAAGGTCACCGGTTCGAATCCGCGTAAGGGTGGGCGTCCTTGCGGTATACTCAGCCCACGCGCAACTGGTAATGGTCGCGTGGCAGCGAAGCGCGGTTACGGCGTACAGCTGACACATTATTATTATCATCATTATCTACTGAATCAAGTGCCACTCGGTTATCCATAAACACTATGACTGTGTGCCATTGATGGACGTGGTACAGTTCGGGTTGAAAAGCTAGTGGTTAGCACAGACTGATCACTCCGTTATCAGAGCGAACATCATCATGACAGCAGACATATCCCATTGCTAAATTTGCATACAGTCTGTTCTCCTCGACATACGGACCGATTGGGTTTACAGATGGATGCTGGACTCTTGTGAATCTGGCTCCAAATCCCATCGATTCATGTTGTCACTACGTCTGTGCGAGGTGCAAGCAAACTATCGTTGCTGACTTTACTGAAAACCTTGTTAGAGCACTTGGCGTTTAGCCGTCGTTAGGCCTTTGTCATCTGTTGGATTCATCTATCGGCAGATATTGAATGGTGATCTTATTGAATGCTTTTACTCCAACTTATTAAAGCATGTTTGATTTCACCACGTAATCAGTTCACTCACGGCTTGTCGGGCAATCATTTGGTTACGAAATTTGCTTTACTGGCCTCCAGTATCTGTCACGTTCATAGATAACTTACTACTTCTCACACGAGCGAGTTTATCATCGCTGGCTGCTCAACGTTATCCCCTCTGATAGGACATTCCGAAAGAGACGAAACCATTAATATCTGTTTCCTTTTCGCTGTGTCGGTGATCAGAATGGGACCAGTTGTCTCGTATTCTTCTTTCCTGTTCGCACTTCGTTACCGACAGCAGCCTCATAGTACTGGAATCCAGGAAACCTAGCAACATTGAGCTGGCAACGGACCTCTGTCTAGGTCCCTAAGGGGCTTCTGAACTGTTTCATTTCTTCTGAAGGCTGGTATAGACATATTTATTCTAATTGCATTTTCAGTAGCCAGAGGCTGCATGCGAACCGGTAAATTCGAATGAATCTTCTCTCTTTTTCCCCACTTCATGGGCACAGCGTGGAGACTGGCGGGTGGACCACCATATATCCTAACTAACTCGTCAAATCACATCGGGCTTAAGCCTTTGCTTACTGACATTTTGGTTACGTGTTCGGACCGCTCACCAGATTGAAGGGTCGTGCACTGCTAATGATCACGAAAAACTGAAACGGCCGTTCATTTGGTCTTCGTACCTAGGCGACTGACTGCATTTAGCTGCAAGGAATTGCTTTTAAACGGTCACTTTTTCTTCCTTATGTACCATAGTCTCTCTTTTCAAATTTAACTGATTTCACCGTCGACCTTCACATTGTATCTCTAATTTTACCATATTTCCGATCTGCAGCACTCCTCGTGACACGATTGACTTTAAACAACCTTTTGTTTTTCACTCTGACTGAACCACTGTATCTATTCATTGAACGTGGAGCTGCGCAAAATTTGACATTTCTACCGAATTCATGGTCCAATTTCACTTGATTGTATCAATGTTTTCACTCTCTTCTCACCCAAACATCATTTTTATTCTCCGATACTTCACAGCCCCTTTGGTCCCTTTGATGTGCACACCATGCGCAGAATGCTCCGTTACTACTCCATCACACCTTCACTGCCGACTTCCTTTATATTGCTTCCATAGACATTTCAAAGCACGCAATGGTTTCTCCATTTGTAGCACTTATAGATCGATTTGGCAATATCAAGAGTGAAATATTAGGCGGTTTCGAGTCTGCACGCCTAGAATCGACCGAGGGCGAACTGTTCGTAGTTTGACCCGAAGTGTACCGGAGAGTACTGGCTTTCTTAAACATGCATCCCGGCTAAATTAAAAGGTACTGAGCTCACTAAACGTTGGATGGCTACGCAACTTAAATTGGATCGAAATTTTTCTTGCTAACTCCAACTAGTGTGTGCTTCCGTCACAGGTACTTGAACATTCCACCACTTTGATAGTGAACGTTTTGGTCGCTATGTCTGATGATGTTCCTACTCGCTTCATCTCATATTTGGATATGTTGGCGTCTTTAATCTTTATCGCACCAAAGCAGTCATTCGATAAGGGTTCTCCTATGAAGTGGCGTCTAATTTTGTTTCAGGAAATCATCCTTTTGACCCTGCTCCTTGAGATCGGGTTAATACTTACTGATTGGCCGACAACCGTAGTCGGCTTCCTATCCAAGTTTGTGTGCCGTATAAGTATCCTGGTTTTTATAAAATCTAGTCAATAATAATTTGATGCTGACTGCTACGTATGCCGTCCACCCTCTGCAAGTTACCAACTGTAGTTGTGCATGGCATTCTACGTCTTGATATTTGCTTCTTCTTTCATAGTACAGCGCATTACTACCGAACTGGGTCTACATTCTACTCATCGTTGGTCACGCCCGGCATCCAGTAGAACTGGTGGATTGGCTCACGTATCTATGCAGTGGTTGTATCACCCCTTGCGTGGTCAACGAGGTTATTTCACACATCGACATAATCATTTTACCTTACACACCCGATCTATGTCATTGACAAAGTGTATGCAATCACTGTCCTCTGCACTGACAGCAACCTGTTTTGTAATTTGATTGACGTCATCTTGGAAACCACTTTATTAATGTCCAATTTTGTTCAGTAGCTTACTTTCTAGTTAGCAGATTGCTTTGGACGGCTGATGAAGCATTTACACGTGTTCAATATGTGTCCTGAACGATTAAATATGTGGTTCAATTGCCTTCACTCTTCTCGCGTTCTCTATAACAAGGGTTTGTTTTTCTCTTCCATCGACCTGTGTGTTTCCATGGCGTATAACTGTAGCGCACTCGACTGCGCTGATCGTTCACTTGGCCATGAGACTACTGCTTATCTCCGCCGGTGACCTTTCTGCTGGTCATTAACTGCAGCCTGCACGTTTTACTGGCACCCACAATTTGTGAACATGATCATTCCACCCGTTTTGGCCACCACTGCACTTTGTCTCTCTGTGTGTGTTGCATGGACACCAGTGTGAGCACTCGCATCAGAATCACCACCTAGAGAGACTG